CCTTAGTTATAACTAGCTTTAGTGTGATGGCTTTCTCAAATGCCAGTTGTAGTAGTAATGTACCAGGTAGGTGAGTAGGCTCAAAGCCTCCTGAGTAGCTGCAGTCATTTGTGTGATGATGGTAGCAGAAATGGCACAAAGCTTGTCTCCTTCCCAAGTGCTGTGCAGTTGTAAGCAGATGATGTAACCAGTTATGCAGGTTGACCTGATCAGTTGGTGGTGCTTGTGGGTTACACCCAGCTGTGGTGGTGACAGTAGGGTTTATGCTTGACATTTGTTATCCAGGTGAAGTAGCTGCATGTACCAGACAATGGCCTGTGCATGGAACTCCCAGGGGTCCTGGTCCTGTACTCTGCCTCTGGGGTGAGTAGAGTGGCGCAAAGCCAGGCAGGGTTTAGCCAGGCAATCCCATGCTCGAGCACCCTGACAGCAGGTATAAGTGCTGATCCTGATAGGGGATGTAAGGCAGTTCTCAGCATCCAGGAGCAATGTTCGAGGGAGGAGTGGAGCAACCACTCCCGTGCCAAAGAGTTATCATGAAAGAGGGGCAGTTTGGAATCCACAGCCTAGTAGGAGATAGTGGCATCGACATCACCCCTACATTCTTTACCTGAAACAGCCAGCCAAGTCACAAGCAGTCTGTCCTCAGATCATAAGACCACCCCAGGCCACCAAACTCCCTGTCCTGGACAAAAGTCATGGCTCTCAGGTCACAGTCTGGTCCCACGAAGTGGGACAGGACCCCAACTGATACACCCGTGGCTGGAACCCACATCACACTCACCTCTTGGATCTGACTGTGGGAGCTCCTTCCTCATTTGAAACTAGATCACAAATGCAACATTGGAGGCTCTCCAAACCAGTGACTGCTGCCCATGCTGACTGACACGTATCTACCCAGTCCCCTGTGAGTTAGGATCAGGAATGGCCTCCTTCTATCACTGACAGGATCTGGGAGCATGCAAAGAGCAATTCCCATTGCTACTCCTTCTCACAGTCTCCCTGCTGCTCCCCAACTCAAGTCCAGTGTTTGGTGGGTCAAAAAGCTACCCCTGGCCTAGATTGCCCAGCTTTTCAGTAGAAATGTATGTTGTGGAGGCAGTCTCTCATACACCGGAGATTCACTCAAGCTTTCCATTGGACTTACAGCACAGGTACTGCTCATCATATTTTTCAAAGTATCTGAAGTTTCCTTTACTATTATGTTGAGCTCCCATGTTCCTTCTTGGATAAAAGGCACAGTATGAATCTCTACATATGATGTTGCTATTTCCCAATGTGTGAGGCATGCTAACAAAGCCTCTAAATCACATCTTGTAAGCATGCCTCATATCAGGAAGTGTGAGTCTTACAACTTTGTTTTTCTTTTTCAATATTGTTTGGCTAACTTGATATAAATGTGAGGATCAACTTTCCATTTTGGCCAAAAAAGTCATTACAATTTTGATAGAGACTGTAGCAAATCTGTGAATTACCTTGGATAGTATTGACATTTTAACAATAAGTCTTTAAATCCATGAACATGGAATGTCTTACGTTTATTAAGTTTTTTACAAATTTAAGTGTAGTTTGGTAGTTTTCATTATACAAGTCTTTCATCTCCTTGGCTGAATTTATTCTTAGTTGTTTTATTCTTTTTGATGATATTGTAAATGAAATTGTTTTCTTAATTTTCAAATGATTCAATGCTGGTGTATAGAAGCAAAGCTGATATTTGTGTGTTGATCCTACAGAGTAAGTCTTCACTTAAAATTATTGATAGGTTCTTGGAAACAGTTACTTTAAACAAAATGATGTGTAACAAAACTAATTTTACCATAGGGTAATTGATATAAATAAAAGTTAAGTTTCTATAGCATATTTCTGGTCACAATAACATCACCAACCTTCTAAATAAAGACCTGAACACTTCTAATATTAAACACTGAAATAAATGTGAGCTATACACACATTTTTAAAAGGCTAATAAAAATAAGTAAGGTAATTATTTACTCATTTTTGGTGAATCAGTGAGCAATGATAGTCATATTGAAAGTGGTAGGTTAAATCAAGGAATAAATGTTTGCAAAACAAAAATTGTAAGGAGCACTTCCTACCACCATGAACTTCAAAAACAAGCAATGCAACAAACAAATACAAAACAATACAAACAAACAAATATTGTGGGCTCACTGAGCACTTTTGTACCATATACTTTGTCAATCATTTTTTGATTATACATTATAAATTTTTATTTTATAATAACTTCTATTTATTCATTCATTTTTCAACCAACTTATTTCAGTTCAAGGACTGGGTGACTGGGGCCTCTCCTGACAGCTCAGGGAACAAGGTAGGAATAAATCCAGGACAGGACACTATTCCATTGCAGAGTATACTCACCACCCCCATACTCATATGGTTTGGACACACAAATTAATCTAATGTGCACATATTTAGAATTTGGGAGGAAACTGGAGAATGTGTACACAAACATGGGGAGAATGTGCAAACTCCACACATACAGTAGCCCTGGCCAGGATTTAATTTCTTTCTCACTGATGTTATAACAAAATGACATTGAGTGAAACAATATTAGTCAAAGACCCACTGAACTTGTTAACTTGGCTGGATTCTTTTTAAAATCTAGTAATTTCTGTGTGAATTCATTGGGATTTTTAATATATGGAACTATATCATCTACAAATATAAATATTTTTGTTTTCTCCTTTCCAATTTGGATGCCTTTTATTTCTCTTTCTTACCTAATTGTTCTGGCTATGGTTTCTGGTAATATGTTAAATGGCAGTGGTAAAAATGAGCATCTTTTTCATTTTCCTGATCATAGGGGTAAAACTTCCATTTTTCACTCTTCATATAATGCTATCTATGGTTTGTTTTTTTTTTATAAATGCTTTTAAAAAAATTTCCTTTTATTCCTAGTTTGCTGAGTGCTTTAATCATGATAGGGTGTCTCATTTTGTCAAATTATTTTTGTGTGGGATTATCCCCCTCTACTCTATTAAAGTGGTACATCACATTGACTGATTTTCTCTTGTTGTATGACGCTTGCATTCCTGGGATAAATTCCATCTGGCCATAGTGTATACTTTTTTAAATGAGCAGTTTAATTTGATTTGTTAGTACTATATTGAAGAATTTTGTGTCTATATTCATAGTGCTATTGATCTTTAATTTTCTTTTTTCATGACATCTTTGTCTATGGTATCAGGGTAATGCTGGCCTCAAAGAATATATCCCTTCCACCCCCTGCTTCCATCCTTTAAAGAAGAATTTGAAAAGGATTGGTGTCAATCCTTTTTAAAATGTTTGATCAGTTTTATTAGTGAAGTTAGATCAGCGAAAATCTGTTTCTAGATTTTTCTTTTTGGGGAAGTTTTGAGTATTGATTCAGTCTCTTTGTATAAATCTGTTGAGATTTTCTATTTCTTCTTGAGTCAATTTTGGTAATTTATCTAAGCATTTGTACATTTCATCTAGTTTACCTAATTTGTTGGCATTCATTTTTTTATAGCATTCTTTAATAATACATTTAATTTCTGTAAATTTGATGGTAGTCTTACTTTTATTTCTGCTTTTGGTTATCTGCATCTTCTCACTTTTTTTCTTACTCAGTTTAGCTCAAGGTTTGTTAATCTTTTTAAAGTACCAAATTTTGGTTTGATTCTGTTTTCTATTTTGCATATCTCTTTTTATTGTTTATTATAGTCATTCTATGGTGCTATTGAACACTTGAAGTTATTTTTCCTACATCACTATACTTTTGTATTTGTTAACCAGCCTCTGGCTATCTCCCCCTCTCCCTTTTCTTCCCAGCTGCTAGTAACCACTATTTTACTCTTCACTTTTGTGAAATCAACTTTTTTAGCTTCCACAAGAGTGAGAACATATTTATTTTTCTGTGCCTAGCTTATTTTATTTAACACAATGTCATTCAAGTTCACCTATGTTGCTGCAAGTGATAGAATTTCTGCTCGTCTCTCACCTACTCTTTTTTTTTTTTCTTCCTTTGGTAGGATCTGTTTTGTTTATTTGTCTTTAGTTCCTAAGGTGTGTTCAGTTAGGTTGTTCATTTGAGAGCTTCCTTTCTTTTTACATATTCATTTATAGACTTCCCTCTGAGGACTGCTTTAGCTGCAGCCTGTATGTTTTAATATGTGTGTGTTGTCAATTTTCAAAGTGTTTTATGATCTTCTTAATGGTTTCTTCTTTTACCCATTTGTTGTTTAGGAGTGTGTATTTAATTTTCACATACTTGCAAATTTTTGAGTTTTCCTTCTTTCATCAATTTCTATTTTCATTCTACTGTGGCTTTAATCTTTTAAAATTTATTGAGAATGGTCTTACGGCCTAACATGTGGTCTAGGCTAAAAAATGTTCCATATGTTCTTGAGAAGATGTATCCTGTCACTGTTAGGTAGAGTGTTTTGTATATGCTTGTTAGGTCTGGTTGGTTTACACTGCTGTTAAAGTCCTCTAGATTGTTATATGATGTTATTTCCTAATTTCTTATCTTCTGTTTATATATTCTATCCATTATTGAAAGTGAAGAATTAGACTGAACTTGGTGGCTCATACCTGTAATCTCAGCACTTAGGGAAGCTAAGTTGAGAGGATTGCTTGAGCCCAAGAGTTTGAGACTGGCCTAGGCAACACAGGGAGAACTTGTCTCTACAAAAACAGAAAAACAATAGCTGGGTGTGGTGGCACATGTCCCAGCTATTCAGGAGACTGAGGCAGAAATATCCTCTGAGCCTGGAAGGTTGAAGCTGCAATTAAAAAGCAGTCTAAAACTTCTGACTCACTAATAACTTAATAGCCTATTGTTGACCAGAAACCTCACCAATAACATAAACAGTCAATTAACACTTATATGATAATATATCATATACTGTATTCTTACAATAAAGTAAGCTAGAGAAAAGAAAATGTGGCTCGGCCTGTAATCCCGCACTTTGGGAGGCTGAGGTGAGTGGATTGCCTGAGCCCGCTGGTTTAAGATCTGCCTGGGCAACTTGGTGAGACCTCATTTCTACAATAAATCAAAAAATTAGCTGGGTATGGTAGCGCGTGCCTGTAGTTCCAGCTACTTGGAAGGCTGAGGCGGAAGGATCGCCGGAGCTCAGCAGGTCGAGGCTGTGGTGGCCGGGAGCAGCCACTGCACTCCAGTCTGGGCAACAGAGTGAGGCTCCAACTCAAAAAAAAAGGAAAGAAAATGTTATTAAGAAAGTCATAAGGAAGAGGTTATATATTTACTATTCATTGAGTGGAAGTAGATCATCATAAAGGTCTTTTTCCTTGTTGTCTTCATGTTGAGTAGGATGAGGAGAAGAAGAGGGGTTTGTCTTGCTGTCTCAGGAATGGCAGTAGCAGAAGTGACAGAGATAGAGCAAGACAGAAGAGACAGGGACACTGTGTAACTTTTACTGAAAAAAGTTCATGAATAAGTGGACAAACACAGTTCAAACCCATGTTGTTCAAGGGTCAATTATATTACCAAAAAAGACAAGTGCAACAATATCAAGAGCAGACTGTTTAGAAGCACTGAATGGCACTTGGGTTTCTACAGCTTTAAATAAAATTGCTTTAAAATTATGCAAAATTTTATGGAAATACTTGAAGAAAATTTCTTAATGTGGTTCAAAATCTATTTAATATGCCACTTAGAAATGGAAGCATTGTTTTTTAAAAAATAAGGCTTATTTCTTCTGCTGGGTGGTTACATTAGTATTGGTATAATTAGTGATATTTATACCTACATTTATACCATATATCTAACTTTATAAGCATTTAACATCATAAATAAATAAAATGAAGACAAATTATTAATACAAAACAGAATAAGGCAACTATATAGAAAAATTCAAAATTAACACTTTCTGTGCTAATTTTGGTATAATATTGTTGCTATACACATATTTACACATTAAGCACTTAAGCATGTGAAAAATCACAGAGCTAATCAGATTCGAGACTAAACTTTAAGAACTCATATGAGATAAATCACAAAAAACTGATTAAAATGCTATAAAATACAAAATTAAAGACTAACAGATTACAGAAATGAATATATTCATTTAGCCATTTGTAAGCATTCTTTGCAATAGTTATTAGGTAAAAGGAAATAAAAATTGAAATTAAAAGTCACTTAGAAATGAATTGACTTTGAGAAGAATAGTAAAAAGGAAAAAGATAAATTATGATTAAATAAGCATGAAAAGGCAATGAAAAGTTTGCTTGAAAAGATTAACAATTATAAACAGAAATGAATAAAATTTAAAATAAAAGACACTGAGGAGATTAAAAGCACAAAGCTGAGTCTTTGGTAAAACTGGCAAGACTATTAAGAGGGAGACATACAATAAAAAGGAGACAGTCACAGGCATGGAGGATATTAAATATACAAATTTTGTTCTAGAAATGAGCATGACCTAAAGTTTCTGCATTTTGCTTAAATGGGGAAGCACAGACATTTTTGTCTAGATAGAACATAAGTAGATAAAGAGGTGTTGGTTTACAACTGTCAGTGGGTCTTAGGCATTTTCTTTCCATTTGTTTGGAAATTTTGGTTTAAATTATAATAAAGTATACATGTTAATAGTATGTTAGGTGTTATGGCGTGTGACATTTTTTTCTGGTTTGTATGCATGTGTTAAGTATTTTTCACTCTGGGATATAGACCATAAACATCTAAAAACAACACACTTAAGGGTGTTTCATTTTCACTTGGGTTTGAATATTTTCCATTAAAAAAAACCAATGAGAAGAGTATCATTATTTTATAATTTGGAAAATCTTTTAAATATCTAGTTTAATAGAAGACAGTGGTATTTTATAAGTGCTCGTGCATTCAGTCCGTCAAGATAAATGAAGAAAGTCTGGCCTCATACACTCAAACACTTAATCTTATAATTGCCATTTTCACATTAATTTGGAATTCTGCTTCATTACATTCTAAATACTCATATATAAGATGGGTTTTTCTATTTTTTAATATGGTTCTAAAAATATATTCTAAATACCTATATTTGGACAAAGACATATGCTATTACACAACTTTTTATATTTTCCTTCCCATTCTTGGTAATTTTATTTTCCAAAAAATTTCAAATCTTTTAGCCAAGTCCCACAAAAACAATTAGGATCTAACTCAGGATTTTAAGTTAATTTGCGGAAGACTGCCATTTCCAAAAAGAGAGTATTCCCAACCAGAAAAATGGTATATTTTACAATGGTTGGAAAGATTTACTTATTTACTTATTTATTTGGAAAGATTTAAACTCAAAAATTACCTTGTGGAATGTTGTATAATTCAAAAGAGAATAGAAAGTAATTTCATTTTCTATTTCTGAACATTGTGTTTTTATGGATACTTCTAGTCTAACTGCATCAGTCAATAAAAATATTTTCAGTATAGATTCAACCTGGATACCAGAGAAAACTCTAGAAGGCAAAGGCAGAGTATTAAAAATGCAAATATCCTAAATCTAGCCCTAAGATATTTGCATTCCTTCTCACCTGTCAGCCTGTTATATAATAAAACTATTCTAGCTATGTGCGATCCCTGTCCCCATAAATTAACCATTCCCAAACTATCCCTGAGCCTGACTCTGCAGGGTCATGATCTGAGCTACAGAGATTGAATCAGCCTAGGTGTCTTCCAAGTCTCTTGTTCTCAGTTAGAAGGTCTAGTATTGTTGTTTCTGTAACTTCCAGGATACAAGTGGAAGGAGAGTTCAAATGTAATTGGCAAATGATCCTGGAATAGTCTTCATTCCCTAATTTCAACCCACTTAAAAGTACTTCCTCAATCAAATAGCCTCACAGACCTTCCACAATCCACCATCCCCACTGAGGAAGGGCAGAGCTGAAAATGGCTCAGCAATTCTCCTTCAGGTGTACTGGAGACCTGTCTCTTACTAATGCAGTCTCAGGCACATTACTATCACACATAAGTTATTGCCACTTGGGTGTCTAGCAGAGGCTGACTTAAAGTCACAGCCCTGTGTGTGTCCTCTGACGTCTGATGAAGTGTGACTCCTGGCTAAAGGTTTCACAACCCTCCTTGTACACACAAAGTTTCTACCTTGAGTGTGTCCTCTGATGTCTGACGAGGTTTGACTTCCGACTGAAGCAGCGCCCACACTTTCTGCAAACATAAGGCTTCTCTCCTGAATGTGTCCTCTGATGTCTAATGAGGTGTGACTTCCGGCTAAAGTCTTGCCCACACTCCGGGCATACATGAGGCTTCCCCGCTGAGTGTTCCTTCTGGTGTTTAAGGAGAGTTAACTTATCACAAAATCCTTGTCCACACTCCCCACACACAAAGGCACCTGAGTGTGCCCTCTTGTGCCTAAATAGGTTTGGCTTCTGCCTAAACCTTCTACCACACTCCCTGCACATGAAAGGTTTTTCCCCAGAATGTGTTCTCTGGTGTGAGATGAGGGTGGACTTATCATTAAAGCCTCGTCCACACTCCCTACACACAAATGGCTTCTCCCCAGAGTGTGTCCTCTGGTGTGTGTTGAGGGTTGATTTCCGGGTAAAACCTCGCCCACACTCAGTGCATACAAATGGCTTCTCCCCTGTGTGTGACCTCCGGTGTTTGTTAAGATTTGACTTCAGGCTAAAGCGTTGCCCACACTCCAGGCATACATAAGGTTTAACCCCTGAGTGCATCCTCTGGTGTGTCTTGAGATTTGATTTCCAGCTAAAGTGACGCCCACACTCTGTGCATACATAAGGTTTCTCTCCTGTGTGTGTCCTTAAGTGTCTGATGAGGTGTGACTTCTGGCTAAAGCCTTGCTTACACTCCCTGCAAACATAAGGTTTCTCTCCTGAATGTATCCTCCTGTGTCTGATGAGGTGTGAATGCTGGCGAAAGCCACGCTCACATTCCCTGCAAACATAAGGCTTCTCCCCAGTGTGTGCTCTCTGGTGTGTGATAAGGTTTGACTTCAAGCTAAAGCTCTGCCCACATTCCTTGCACACAAAAGGTTTGACCCCTGAGTGAGTCCGCTGATGTGTGAAGAGGTTTGACTTCCACGTAAAGCCTCGTCCACAATCCTTACACACGTAAGCTTTCTCCCCTGAGTGTGTCCTTTGGTGTGTGATGAGGTTTGACTTCCAGGTAAAGCCTCGTCCACATTCCCTGCACATATAAGGCTTTTCCCCAGAGTGTGTCTTTGGGTTTTTAATGAGGACTGACACACTGCTGAAACTTTGGCCCCATTCAGTATACATATAGGCTGTCTCCCCAGTGTGTGTCTTCTGAAAGTTAAGTAAGTTTGAATTCTTGATAAAGCCTGGTCCAAACTCTTCACATTTGATTGCTCCAAATCCCAACACTTCTAAACCATGCAATACTTTGCCTGTTTCTTTAAGGGTTGAATTCCCTTCTAGGCTGGACCTTATATCCTCCACCACTGTGTTGTCTTCCTTGGACCTTACTGGCTGTCCCTTAGGTGAGATGGAGGGTAACTTTGAAGTGGCACTTTTGTTTACTCTCCGAAACAGGCATTTGGAGTCTTCTCTCTCTTGAATTATTTCTTTATCACCAGAGCAGAATTGATAAAAGAGTTGATCCTGCTGCTGTTTCTGATCTTCTGGGTAGCATTTTCCAGGACTGAGAGGATTTCCTGCACATAAACTTGAGAACAACTGAGGGAGATGACTCAGCCACACGTGTTGGCTGAGGGCTTGCTGATTGGAGAACATCAGAGGGCAGGAAGGACAAGGTTGAATTTCTGGCTTTGATCCTGCTGAAGAAAGAACATTTTCAGAGGAGTCATAGGTAGTGCTGCCCAGGTAATTTTGTCTTGCCTATTAGTTATTCATAATATATTTATATCACAAGTTATCTCCCAGCTAGATATCCTTCCCAATTCCTTGTTTTCATTTTACTTTATGCATTACACTATTGCAGGGGTTGGCAAAGTCAACTGACAGGCAAAATCCAGCCTGCAACCTGCTTTTGTATGGTCTGCCAACATTCTTTTTCTTTTTTTCTGAGTTGGAGTCTCACTTTGTCACCCAGGCTGGAGTGCAGTGGCATGCTCATGGCCATCCCAGCGTCAACCTGCTGGGCTCCAGCAATCCTGCCTCAGCCTTCTGAGTAGCTGGAACTACAGGCGCATGCTTCCACACCTGGCTGACTTTTGATTTATTGTAGAGATGAGGTCTCACCAAGTTGCCCAGGCTAGTCTCAAACCTGTGGGCTCAGGCAATCCACTCACCTCGGCCTCCCAAGGTGCTAGGATTACAGGCTGAGCCACCGAGCCTGGCAATCTGCCAACTTTCTAAAGGGTTGAACTAGACAGAGACCAAGACAGAGACAGACAGGCAGAAAGAAAGAGTGAGAGAACAAGAGAGAAAAGAACACAATGTGACAGAGATCGCATATGGCCTAAAAACCAAAATATTGGATACTGGTCAGGCACAATGGCTCATGCCTATAATCCCAGAATTTTGGGAGGCCAGGGAGGGAGTATTGCTTGAGCCCAAGAGTTTGAGACCAACCTGGGCAAAACAGCAAGACCTCATCTCTAAAAAAAAAAAAAAGAGAGAGAGAGAGAGAGAGCCAGGAGTGGTGGTGCATGCCTATAGTCCCAATTTGGAAGGCTAAGGTGGAAGGATCACTTGAGCCCAAGAGAACAAAGCTGTGGCAAGCTGTACTCCAGCCTGGGCAACAGACTAAGACCCCAACTCAAAACAAATAGACAACAAGGAAACCTAAACACCCCAAATCAAAATATTTACTATGTGACCCTTTATAGAAAAGCTTGTTGACCCTATCCTATCGCAATGTAGAAAACTCATACCAAACAGATATTTTCACATTATCTGACAGATTTTAAAATGTTCAAGGGTCCTAGAAATCAACCAAAAGGATAAAAGTAAATTGAGAGGTGTTTGTTCATGAAAAACACCAAACTTCAGATAAAAATAGTAGGAGTCTGTAACATTATTGCTAGAGTTGTTCTTAGCTTCTCTCCCCTTTCCACTAGCTTGGTTAGTGCAGTAGTTATAGCAAAGCAGGCCACGAAATGATTAGTTTGCTGCTACTGGAGGCAGCTCATTTAATTTGGATGGAAGGTAATAAACCAATGCTCAGTAGAGCTGCCAATAAAACTAATGATTTAGGTAGTAAATAAACAGGGAAGGCCAGTAACTGCTATATGAGGCTGCAATCTTGGTAGACAATAAGACTGGTAGATGATCCAGAAATTTGCAGGGAAACTCTGAAAATAAGACAGGCATACAGGGGCTTGATAAACGCTATACACAATCTTGGCTGACTGAAAGGTTGTAGGTGACTGCAGGACAGAGGGAAAGAAAGGGAGAGGGCAAGCTATTCACATCTCCCTGCCTGACAAGGAGGCTGCAACCAGGGCAGAGGAAAACCAAGAGGGCTCAGTGAAAAGTAAAAAAGCCTAGAAAGACTAGAAAACCACCTGAAATTGGAATAAGCTCCCTAACCCACACATTTAACCATTAATATAGGCAGGAAGCCTTTTTAACTCAAGGTTTTTGAGTACAAACTATGGCCAATTCTTTTTTTTTTTTTTGAGTTGGAGTCTCACTCTGTCACCCAGACTGGAGGGCAGTGGCCACTCCCGGCTGCCACAGCCTCGACCTGCTGGGCTCTGGTGATCCTTCCACCTCAGCCTTTCGAGTAGCTGGGATTACAGGCACGCGCTACCACACAGGGCTGATTTTTGATTCATTGTAGAGATGAGGTCTCGCCAAGTTGCCCATGCAGGTCTCGAACCCGCGGGCTCAAGCAATTCACTCACCTCGGCCTCCCAAAGGCACGGGATTACGGGTTGAGCCACCAAGCCTGGCTATGGCCAATTCTTATAGACCACTAAACTCTACAGCCACAGGACTGTCATCTAGGAAGCCAGGATTAAAAATAAACATAAGAGGCCTGGTATGGTGGTTCATGCCTTTGATCCCAGTACTTTGGGAGGCTGAGGCAGGAGGATTGCTTAAGCCCAGAAGTTCAAGACCAATGTATGCAACATCTCTACAAAAAAAAAAAGCCAGCATGGTGGTATGTGCCTGTAGTCCTAGCTACTCAGGATGCTGAGGTAGGAGGATCACTTGAGGTTAGAAGTTCAAGACTCTAATGAGCTACAGTTGTACCACTGTACTCTAGCATGGGCAACAGATCCTGTCTCAAATCTAACTCTCTCTCTCTCTCATTAAATTAAAAAAATCAAGTATCTCCATCTTCACGGAGGAGAGAGATTCTACAAATTTAGTCTAAAAAGTTACCAAGCAAACAAAAAGTAGTAACAACAATCATCAGGCAGAAAATATATTCACATACCAGAGGGACTACAAAATAGTATCTTAAATATCTAGGTTTAAAAAAACTCAAAAAGAGTAAACAATAATCAGGAAAAAAACACTATTGACAGAAGTGGTCACTGAGTGGGTCCAAATTTAAGAAAAAAAAAAAAAAAAGGACTTCAAAACTGATAGTATAAATATGTTCAAAGAACTAAAGGAAACCATGTGTAAAAAATTAAAGTATGTAACAATGATTCAATAAACAGAATCTCAGTAAAAAACACAAGTTGTTCAAAAGAAATTTTTAAAATTCTGGAATTAAAAAGTAAAAGTACTAAAATTTTAAAATTACTAGAGCATATTTGAGTGTGCAACAGAACTAGTGAACTTAAGATAGAGCAACACAAATTCACTAAATTGAAGAACAGAGTAAAAAAAAAAAAAAAAGACTGCAGTAAAACAAGAAGCTCCAGAAACCTGTGGGAAGGCAACAGGCAACCAATCTACATTTAATGGGAACTCAGAAAGGAGAAGAGAGAGAGGAGCAGAAAAAAAAATCTCAAAATATAAAAATATAATGGCTAACACTTCCCAAATTTAATGAAAAAAAAAAAAACCAACCAAAACATTAACTCAAGAATCTCAATAAACTCCAAGTAAGATAAACATACAGAAATCCCCAGCTAGACGTATCATAGTCAAACTGGGAAAACAACAATAACATAGAAAGTCTTGAAAGCAGCAAAAGAAAAATGACTCAACATGTATATGGGGAAAAACAACATAGTTAGTGTTCCAGTCAAAACGCTAAAGAAGTAGTAGGAGAAAGGGAGAAGCCAAACAAGGAGAAAAGGAAGTTAAAGGCATCTAACTTGGGAAGGAAGAAATAAAAACCACAAATGATATACTCTTGTATGTATAAAATTCCAAAAAGTCAATCAGAAGTAATAAGTATAGTAAGTCAGGTCACATGATATAAAATTAACATATAGAAACCAATTATATTTCTATACACTAGCAATGACTATCCCACAAATGAAACTGAAAAAAAAAAAAACCCAACAATACCATTAACAATAGCATAAAAATAATAAAATACTGCCGGGCTCGGTGGCTCAGCCTGTAATCCCACGCTTTGGGAGGTCGAGGTGAGTGGATTGCCTGAGCCCGTGGGTTTGAGACCCACCTGGGCAACTTGGCGAGACCTCATCGCCACAATAAATCAAAAAATTAGCCGGGTGTGGTAGCGCGCGCCTGTAGTTCCAGCTACTTGGAAGGCTGAGGCAGAAGGATCGCCGGAGTCCAGCAGGTCGAGGCTGCGGTGGCTGGGAGCGGCCACTGCCCTCCAGTCTGGGCGATAGAGTGAGACTCCAACTCAAAAATAAATAAAAAAAATAAAATAAAATACCAAGGAATAAATATGACAAAATAAGCACATGGCTTATAAATTGAAAATTTTAAGGCACAGTTGAGTGAAGCTGATGTCCTAAATAAACAGACATTCATAGATTGGAATGATCACTATTATTTTTTTTTTTTTTT